TTTTAGCCCATTGACAACCCTAAAAGATTTACTTACACACACATCAAATCTGTGTTTCATAAATATACTGAAGATGTAATGCTAGATATTTTTTTTATAGTTTCTTCTGCTCTATTCTATGCTGGATAATACTGTTTTTCTGTATATTGTAGATCATTAAAATTCTGCCATGTTTGTGAAATTGAGATTTTTAAATCGAAGAACTTAACAAAGAAAATTTACATATTTTTTTGGATAAATAATATTATCCACGTCTCATGTTATATAAAAAAAAATTTAAAGTACTCTCTCTGTGTGCATGAATTTGAAACTTTTTATATTTTCTAGAAAGAGAGACAATACAATTGCGTTTTATTGTTAGAGAAAGATGTGTCATTCTGGATTTGCTTAAAAATGCTTAAATAATTTGTCGTTGTGCAAACAAGTCGTCTTCTTTCTTCACTTTTGAGCCTTTGGGGTAAAAGGAGTCATCTACTTCTAGGATTTCGGGGCTATATTTGTGTGTTCGTCCAAGGATTTGGTATAATTCCCCTTTTTTAATTTATTTTTTTGAAATTCTTGATGGATATTTCTATTGTTTTCTTTGATTATTTAATTGGATTTTGATTTTTATCTTTGCCATTTTTGTTTTCGCTTTTAATTTTTTATGTTAAAAGATGTCGTATTGTGTTTTCGTACCAAGTTATCCTTATTTGTATCTCTCACCAAAATATATACATGTAAAATCGAAGGAGACTGTAGTGTAACTCATTATAAAGTGACAAGCCCTATATACATTGATGCAATAAAATATAAACGATATCAATCCCTTGCAAATAAATGTTATTATGTTAACAAAAGTAACTTCAATTCTTAATCGTTAGTTCAATTACGTTTTTTCCATTCTATCTAGAATCTTAAATAGGGAATTTCACGTGTCTTAACAAATAATTCCTGGAGTTTTATTAAATTGTTTCATCTAATGTATCTAATATTTTAATAATTGCTTATTCCTTTTGTTTGGTTAAAGTTTTGTTCCATTTGTTTTCTGTATTGCCTAGCATGTTGTTCCGTGCATCAAAGATGGCTTCTTTAAGCTTGGGTTTCTTAGCAGTGGCTTTCTCCATTGACCTCTACACCTGCGTCTCTCCTCGCTTTCCCACTTCCTCCGGTGCAATCTCTTTTTCTTTCTAATCTCTTTTGAGTTTCTTTCAATATGTCATTTTATATAATTTATTCTTTAATGTCAGATTTGGTGAGTTTGATTTGGGTTTGTGAATGTGTTCCTGGCTTTTCCACTTTGGATTCACATAATAAGTTCAATGGTTGTAAACAGAACAGAATACTGACTTGCGAACAAGGCAATTCAAAGCTTGAAAATTTGTATGTTATGCATGAGCTGACTAATATTTTTTTGTGCACTTTATTCATGCCTGTTGTGGATAATAGCTTGAAAATTTGTATGTATTGCATGAGCTGACTAATACTTTGTAGTGCACCTTTCTATGCAAATTATTCATGCCTGTTGTGGATAATAGTTCCAAAACCCGTAGCGAAGCGCGGGCAATTTTTCTAGTTATAGCTATGATACCGGGATATGCATGTTTTTCTCGACCTATAGAAGTGTAAAGCTTCACATGAAAAGACATAACATTCAGTCAAGGAAAGCAATGTTGGTGGTGCCACGGCACTTAGAATAGATGATGCACTCAACAATTTGCACAAAAATATCAAAGTGCAGCGGATCACACACTGTTATGGTGAAATGTTTATTCCAGAACTGATCAAATTGCAACATCAAACATTTTGTAACAATCAAAATTTCTGTGTAAGGCATAATGCCTAGTACAAGCGATGTCCTTTCATCTCCTAGCGAAAAGAAAGGTACAAATTCCTCAAGGATTGAAACTTCCGGCAAGATCACAACTTCGCAGCTACAGTACGAGTCGTTTTCAAGTCCTAAATGAACGACGATAACAGTAAAGCTTCATCAAGGTATGCTAAACCTCGGACGCTATATTGAAAATAAATCCCACATTGATGGGAGGACGAACCTTGCATGAGTTTAAAGTATGTTGGATTATTCTCAGGATTTACGAAAAAAGTGGGAGAAGTAAACCTTGGCCTAGAAAGATTGTCTTCAAAGAATCGCTCTCAAAGCAAGAAAGTGATGAAATTGAGATTTCACCATAAAACCAATTGGCAATATGAGGAGTAGTTCAAGACCATATAAGCACATAGCAAATCTTGTCTCTCACCAATGTGGGACAACTCTCAACACACCCCCGCACGTGTGGTGGATTTTCAAGCCTACACGTGGACAACAACTGGGTGACGTGGAGCATGTGTGGCCATTGAGTTTTACACGTAGACAACTTTGCTCTGATACCATGATAAAATTGAGGTTCCACCATAAAACCAATTGGCAATATGAGAAATAATCCAAAACCTTAGAAGCACATAACAAACCTTGTCCCCCACTGTGTCAGCCAAATTAACGAAGGCCTCCTGAAACCCAAAATCTTTAAAACATTTTAACAACTTGAGAAATATTGTGGATTACTTTGATTACGAGAATAAAGATGATTAATAATAATAAAACATTCCTTGAGAAGATGATACCTGGACCTGGAGAATTGGATCGAATAAACCATCAGCTTCAAATCCTTTTCCCAACTATGTCTATGTAAGGGATGTGGGATATTTTGGCATCTCTCTTTAGCACAGGACACCCATAGATCCAAAGTTGCCTAAGTGAAGTTACTCCTCTGGAATGGATATTTTCACTGAAGTATGTAGACACTCCTCTGGAATGGATGCCAGCTTTGGACATTTGAAAAGGCTTAGAGATTGAAGGGAAGTGAGGAATTGAAGCCCTTGCTGCTCAGTTTCTTCAGATTCGGGAAGCCATGTATTCGGAGATCAGTGAGAGATTTGGGGAGGAGCATCTCCATCTAGACAATGTCGGGTGGAAACGACACCGTATCCGGATCATTGCCGTAGATCCACAACTAAGAGAGGTGAGTTTGTGCAATCCCCACTCCGACTCCCAGAATGACTTACAGCTCTTCACCTTCCAAATTGTAAGTGATGTGAGTTTGGGGGGAAAGGAGCAACTCAAACCTTCACAGTAGTCAATCATCAATTCCTCAAGAGAGTTGAAATTGTGCATGTTTTTGGGCAACGCCTTCAATTTGTCACAATCGGTGATCTCGACCTCTCTCAAGTTGGAGGCTCTTCTCCCCCCACTCAGTGTTGGGATGGAAACAAAACTTCCACAGTGATATATATCCAATGTTTGAAGATTGATGAGGTGGCATAAGCCATCTGGTAAGGATTTCAGAATTTGGCACTTCTAGATCCTAATATATTCAAGACAGTTATTAGTATTGTCGCGGAAGAACTTGTCCTACGCTATAACTCCAGCTGTGGACCCTTAGGTTGAGCCCTAGATTGTCCATGTACCCTTTTTGGAGAGATTAAGTGACTCGTAGTCCTCAGATGTTTTGATTTGAGATTTTTAGTGAGCGAACATCCACTGAAGAAAAAAAAAGATTTGGTATCTGGTTTATTTGAACAATTTGGATGTGTTGGAGTGAATTTGGTTTATATACACCATAGATTTGATTTGGTATTTTGTTTTTGTGATTGTATCTGTAGTATGGTACTAGATTACCTATGTACCATTGGCGAGATCAAACCGGTGTAGTTAATGGATGAATTGGTTCGGGATTTTCAATGAGTGAATGACCCACTGAAAAAGAAAGATTTGGTATTTGGTTTTTTTGAATGCTCTGGATTTATTTGAGTGAACTTGGCTGAACTAGGGATTCGATTTTGACTTTGTAGGGAAATTGCATCTAAATTGAGTCTCTAGATTGCCTACGCACTCTTAGCGGGATCAAACTGACGTAGTTCGAAAATGAATTTGGAATTTAATTTGTGTGGCTTCGTACCATTTGAGAATTTTGAACTTTGGAATTTGATGGGTATTTTGTATCAGCTATTTGCTAACTGACACATGCATTGTAACGCACCATTTTATGTGACTTTGTATGAGTTTCCCACCTGTTATCAGCTAATTGGCATTTAGCTAACCTTAATTTTGAGTTTCGACGACAAGGCCAACTAATCTGGAGGACCGTACACCTTTTTTTATTCAACTTTCGCCAACAAGCTTCTGGGTAATTTCTCTAGGTGAAGGAAGAGAACGTGGGATCATCTCGAATGTCTCCTTCTAGCTGCTTTCTTTTTATTGTTGTTGGCTGGCGATGATAACAGTAAAACTTCATCAAGGTATTGCTTAACTTCGGACGCTATGTTGAGAATTTGTTTGCTGGCGATGATAACAGTAAAACTTCATCAAGGTATTGCTTAACCTCGGGCGCTATGTTGAGAACAAATCCCATATCAATTGGAGGAGAGGCATTGCCTAAGCTTATAAGTCGGTTTACTCCCATACTGCTAATTGCTTTTATGGTAGAATCTCACTTTTTTTTTCATGGTATACAATGAGACCGGATAACTTCAATCCACGTCACCAAATTGCCAATTTTCCCAGTCCTCTGCCTCCCAGGCCAAGGAATCATATTCAAATTCAACAAAACTCTCCTGCTCACTCAACTCGACACGAGATCCCACGGGCTCCTAATCAACAGTTCAGCAACAGCCTCACATTTGCCTCTGGAAAGTCGGCATCTGATCTTGGAGGAGGAGGACAACTATATGATCCATTCTCGCCCAATTCGGCAAGTCATTAGCAGGGAGGTAATCAGGGAAAGATATGGAAGCAAGAGAATGATCTATTTTTTACTATTATTATTTCTTATACAAGTAACAATGCGGAAGGGGTATTCGACAATAAAACCTGAGGTGCAAGAGTAAAAACACTCTTTTACCCACTTGAGCAATAAGCCCCTTACCTTTCCATTTCCTTGTTAATTGCCTAATTCTCGACCCATTAAATTAAATGCAGTACTCGCTCACAAGTCACAAATTGCTAAAAATAAAATAAACTGGGATAGGAAAACGGTGATCCCATAAACATCCATCATAGGGAGGAATTACAAAAGTTTAGGTTTAAGTGGCCTCGTTAAAATCTTGATCGGAGAATACCCAGTGGGAAAAACTCCAACTTAGAAAAGAGTACCACAGTTATATTACAAATCCGGAGAGCTCATACACTAGAGTTGCGAGCAGCGCAGGAGAAGAAACCTTGGCCTAGAAACAGGCATGGTTGTCTTCAAAGAATTGCTTTCAATGCAAACACAAAACCAGCCCTACTGTAGTTTGTCAGCCAAATCCCAAACGAATGCCTCCCAAACAGTCAGTCCTGAAACCCCAAAATCTTGAGGACACAAATAAAAAAAACTTAAAACATTTTACCAACTTGAGGAATATTGTGGATTACTTTAATTATACTATTGAGAAGATGATACCTGGACCTGGAGACTGGGATTGAATCGACCATCAGCTTCACATCATCTTAAAATCTCTCTACGCTATGTAAGGGATGTGGGATATTTTGTGCCAGTAGCGTCCTTTTCCTCGTTCGCATCTCTCTTCTAGCACAACACACCCAGAGATGAGAAGTTGTGTAAGTGAAGGAGGAAGACCCTCTTCTGGAATGGATGCTAGCTGTGGACAACTGGAGAGATGCAGAGATTGAAGAGACGTTAGGGATTGAAAGCCCTTGCTAAGTTTCATCAGATTCGGGAAACCACAAATTAATAGTTCAGTGAGAGATTTGGGGAGAAGCGTATCCGTCTGGACCACGTCGGGTGGAAACGATACCATATCCGGGTCATTGCCGTAGATCCACAATTTTCTAAGAGAGGTGAGTCTGTGCAATCCCCACTCCAACCCCCACAATGACTTACAGCTCTTGACCTTCGAAATTGTAAGTGATGTGAGGTTGGCGGGAAAGAAGCAACTCAAACCTTCACGGTAGTCGATGGTCAATTCCTCAAGAGAGTTGAGACTGTGCATGGCTTCGGGTAACACCTCCAATTTGTCGCAATCAGTTATCTTGATCTCTCTCAGGTTGGAGGCTCTTCTCCCCCCACTCAGTCTGGGGATAGAAACAAGACTTCCACAGTAATAAATATCCAACGTCTGAAGATTGATGAGGTGGCATAAGCCATTGGGTAAGTATTTCAGATTTTGGCACTTCCAGATCCTTATATATTCAAGACAGTGATTAGTGTTGTAGCGGGATAACCCTTCCTCTTCGATTAACTCCAGCTGTAAACAATCGTATATCTCAAGGTGTTTAAGCGTCCTAAGAAGCTGGCCGCTCAATGATAACGACGTCAGAGATTGACATTCCTGGATTTTCAAGTACTCAAGACAAATGTGAGAAGAAGACAACGGAGAAGAACCAACAACCTCCTCATCTACTAGTGATTTCAAACTTTTACAGTCTCGTATCTGTATTCTTCTGAGATTTTGGGGAATCTGGAATTTTGCCAAATATATCAATGAAGGGCACTCTGTAATCTTGATGTCTTTAAGAGAAGGTGGCAGACTAACATCCGGAAGAGAAACTAGACGTGGACATTTGTGTATGCAAAGCTCTTGAAGAGACGACAACTGATTTAACCCTTTTGGTAGCTTCAAAAGATTGTCGCACTTCTTTAACTCCAGACATTCAAGCTTGCACTCCAGTATTTGCAATTGCAGCAACTCCTCTGCTTCTTTTCCCAATTCTTCAACTAGAAGAGAGTTGTCTTCAATTTCCAAACGGCTAAGAGAAGTCAACTGCTGCAAAAATCTACCCTCATTCTTCAATGAAGACATCAGCTCCTCACATCCATTAATCTTCAAATCTCTAACCTTGGTTAATCCCTTTTGGAACAATTCCCTTGTTTGCAGAGACATCAGCTCCGAAATATTTGAAAGGCACAAGGACTCTAACAACTCAAACTCAACCTTAGCAGCTGTATGCACCAACACTTTACAACAGTCAATGTTTAACTGACGAAGTTGTTTGTAGTTGGCAATTGAAACCACTAATTGTTCACATTTAACAATTCCAAGCTTTACTAAAGAATTGAGGTTCTCCGGCAACTTACCCTCCAGTTTTGAACATTTTTTTACGAAGAGCGTTTTCAGGCAAGGGAAAACACCACTTCCATGATCTAGTTGGAAAGGAAGCCATTCCTTCCAATGCTGCATATCCATAAACTCAAGAGTCTCTAATAGCGGAAAAGGCGAGATGCACTCTCCATAAAACTCAGCACCAACACTTTCCACTGCATTCATTCCTCTAATATAAAGTTCTTTGAGATGAGGCAATTGTCCGAGAGGTGGCAACGATAAACAATTGTTACACTCCTCTAACCGCACAAGCACCATATTAGAGAACAAAGAAACTGCAACCCACGATGAAAATTCCTTTCCGGCATAACTCTTGATGGTGAGCTCCTTGAGCTTTGTATGAGGCTGTAACATGTCAAGCACAACAGATTCCATTTCTCTTGTGTCGCTTGAATGAGACCATTCTAGGACCAACGAATCAAGCCTCTCCTTGCATTTTAAGTTGGCCCTCCGAGCATCGTCGACATCAATCACATTCTCCAATCTTGAGATGCACAATGTCCCGCGGAGATGCAATAGGAACTCTATCTCCCTTATCCTGGATCCATCACTGCCACCACTGACCACAAAATTAGACAATGATTGGAGATTCACCAATCTACCCAGTTGTGGAGGCATTCCTCCCAATGAATATGCATCCGAGTTGTTTAGATGGCGCAAATTAATTAGATTACTCATGTTCGCAGGCAATGACTTCAATTTAGAACAACCTTCCAATATCAAAGTTTGCAAGCTGTAAAGAGTGCTTGTTGATTCAGGCAAACTGGTTATATCTGTGTAGGAAAGGTCAAGATACTGTAACAACCTCAAATCACCGATTGAGTTTGGCAGCTCAGTTATTTTGTAGCCATTCAAAGAGAGCACTCGTAAGTATTGCAACTGTGGTAGTAACTCAAAAATAACCTTATGAGACAAATATTTACTCCACCACCTGGAATCTGAAAGCGAAAGTGGCAGGAATGTTCGCAGATGTTCAACTTTACGAAAGTCCTCAAATCTCATGACTCCATCAAATTGACCAGCAATGAAAGACGAATGGCGAGCCCTTCGAAAGCAGGTGCGTTGCAAGTTATCACCTTGCTTATCTTCCAACCTAGAACATATTTCTCCTGCTGCCCATTGTGCTAAATCATTAACGAGGTCATGCATTACAAATCGTGAATTGTTTTTGCTTGATTCTTGAAACAACGACCTTGATAATAGCTCTCGAAAGTAGTCGCGGCCCAAATCCTCCATTTGTTTATTGTCTTCAGGCTTTTGTTGAATCAAACCCTCTGCCATCCACAAAAGGACGAGTTGCTTCTCCCTAAATTCATAGTCGTTTGGAAGTATTGAGCAATAGGCAAAACACCTCTTCAAATTTGATGGAAGATAGTGATAGCTCAATTTTAGTACGGGGAGAATGCCACTCTTATCTGCTATATTCCACAATTTGTTGTTCAATATTTCTTCCCACTCATCTTTTTCTTTGCAACGTAAAAGGCCACCGAGAGTCCTTGCAGCTAATGGTAATCCACGACATTTTTCGACAATTTTTCTTCGAATTAACTCATAATTTACTGGTTTTCCATCGTTAGGTTCCCCGAATGCATGTCGCTCAAATATTTCCAAACAATCATCATCTCCCATGCACTCCAAATTATGGACTCCAGCGGCTCCCATAAACTTTGCAACATTCACATCACGGGTTGTCACAAGTATCTTACTTCCTCCAGCTCCGACGCCAAAAGGGGATTGAAGTCTTGTCCAGAGATCGTATAGATCATAGTCACCTTTGTTCCAAATATCATCTAAAACGATTAAAAACTTTTTTCCTCTTAACTGCTCACTCAAATCATGCTGCATTTTACTGAACTCCTCGACTTCAACGGGTCGGGATGTGATTGATTCAAGAATTGCCTTTGTCACTCGCAGAACATCGAAGTCATCAGACACAGATACCCACACCTTTGGCTCGAACTCCTTCATGGCATCATCTTTGTGGTTGAATACAAGTTGAGCAAGTGTCGTCTTCCCGACTCCGGGCATGCCAACTATAGCTACTACACCAAAATTGACAGTACCTGCATGCTCATATTTTCTTGACAACAATTCGATAATCTCCCTTTTGTCATCATCTCTTCCAACAACAAGCTTTTCATCTAACACGCCTGAACTTTGTAAACTTCGTGATTCCTTAGCAGACGTCCCAGTATCTTTCAAGCCAAACTGTTCTTTCCGTTCAGATATGTCTTGCAATCGCTCTGTAATCTTCTTCATTTCGAAGTTCATATCAAACCTCAATTTAACTTTATGAAATGATCTCCATATCTTGTTGCTTGTGTTGGCTTGTTCACGTCCCTCTATCATGCGCTTCAATATTTGTGTCGCAAATTTGTCCAACATGTCTTCGATATCATAAGCCAAATCTCTAAGATCATCGAGCCACAGTTTTACAACACCCTCAGTCAGTTGCCTTTCCTCAGCATCACTCAGCACCGCTCCGATTGTAGATAACGTGGTCCTCCACTTCTCCAGCTTCTTTCTGACACCCCGGAAGTTTACGAAGTAGTTGAGAATCTCGCGAGGGGTCAACCTGTCGAGCAGCATCTGTAGAAACGCCGAAAGAAAAACCTCTCCCAGTGCCATATTAAGCGTGAACAGACCTCCAAGCAATCAAAGAAACAGCGAACCGTTCTTGAGCAATATTGAGGTGCAGAACTCAAGAAAGGAAGAGTAACAGTCAAAGCCTAGTTCCTTGCAAATGTGGAAGCTTGATCTCTTGAGACTCAGAAATATTCACAACTGCACAAATTAAAATTATAAGAACTGATTATTAATGCCTGCGCAATCATAAACAAATTTATAGTAGAAGTGAAATAATCAATCAATGGACTCCTAGTAAGCATATCTAGGGGTACCAATTTGAGACTTGGGATGGCAACATGGTGGATTCAGATCAAGGTTGCCTACATCATAAATTTGATAACCGTACCGCCATTATGTATACAGTCACTATTACGTTTTATGGAAATATTATTTTCCTTATTATATACAAAATAATCTAACAACTTGATACTGTACGTCTAAAGCACAATAAAACACACCATATAATGGCGCTCTATATAGCAATGTCGGAAAACAACCATGCCTTTGCATTCCATTATGGGTTCAATGCCCACCGATCTCCTCCCCCTAACAACTAACAATTTTACCGACAACACTATTGTTTGTCAAAAAAACATCATATATATTACTCAATAACAAAATACAAAAAACACACCAAATAAATTTGAAAGACCAGGACAAAGAAAAACTCAATATTGCAAAATTCATATAATAGTATATATTCTTTTTATAAATTTTAACATGTTGAACGGATAAATGGGTCAGTTTTGGGATTACCCGTAACTGTAGGGATTCTTGCAATCCTACGCTTCAAGACTCGAAACTTGCACGAATATTGGATATGATCTGTAGCAAGGAAGTCTGTCAGGTCATGACGGCACTTGTTTGCATGGATCAGTTTGCACTTACGATCAACAAATCCAGAGTGAATGATGGAATAATTAAGGCAGGCTGAAAATTGCACAAATTGTATAGCTGGTTATTGATGAAATAATTAAGTATACAAACCTGAAGAAAAATGAAATAATTAATCTATAGCAGATTATTGATGAAATAATTAAGTATACAAACTTGAAGAAAAATGAAATAATTAATCTATAAATAATGGATTTGGCATATATAGTTGCAAGAGGAACTTACTGCGTTCAAGTTTTCAGATGATGATGAAGATGAAAGGACATGGAAAATCAACAGATCTAGACTACTTTAGAGCTCTTCAATTTTCGATAATTAGGCGTTGACTTGAAATGAAAGACAGTAACAAATCTTCCTCTTTCTGCCTAAAACAGTCTTAGATTCCTCTTTTTTCTTTATCTTTAATTTTCGTGGGGTCATATTGTTTTATCGTTTTTAATTGCTTTCTTATCTCCCAAGTCATGCACGGTTATATTTTTTTTTCGTTTCCTTCCTTTGTATGAGAGATTTCGGGAGATGTGTACCAAACATGAAACTTCGGATGAAAGGATGACTATTTGTAAACAACTAAGCTATATTCTACTGGAACACTGATTATATTAATTTTGTGGAATAATGTTAGACAGACTAAAATTTTAAATTATATTTACAAACCAAATGATGTATCACTAATAAAAAAAAACACGTTAATCAACATTTAAGTAATAATCCAATCATCAACATTCACATCATTTGATTTACAAAATTTGATTTCCCTAACATTATCCTATTTTGTGAGGGTGTTTGGTTCAATTTTCCTACTAGTTGTTGTTATAATGGTTTGGGATGTGGTTTTTTTTATTTTATTTTATTTTTTATAGTTTTGTGATGGTGAGAAGAGAGTGGAAGTGCATGAGTCAAAGAGGAAGGGGAAGCACTAGGTGCGGAGGAGGGAGGAGGAAGAGGGTGGATGTGCAGAGTCGAAGAGGGAGGGAAAGCACTGGGTGCCAAAGGAAGAGAGGGGAGGGTGGGATTTGGGGAATAAGGGTTATTTATTTATTTATTTTTTTTAAATTTCCACATGGATGATACGTGGCGCCCAGTCATTGTCCACATGGGCACCACGTCATCAGTTAACGGTAGACTTAACAGTTTGACTAACAGAGGTATGAAACTGTTCCAAATTTAAGACTTAAGGTATGACTATGGAATGAAAAAAAACTTCATGTACCAAATGTTGAAAACCATGAAACTTTAAGTCAATAAACAGAGATTAACCCAAACTAATATTTATATATTTGTGTGCTGAATTTTGACTATAATAAAATCTCTCCACCCACTACCACTAGAGAGCGGGACGGGTGCCGCCTACCCACCAAACCCAAAAGTGGGGGGCGGTGTCCTTTGGGATTTCTAGAGGAACATTTGGTAGATACGCTTTGCACCACAAAAATGTGCAAACCAATTTGATTTTGGGTTTCTAGTAATATCCTTTCTTTTCTTAATTTTGAACTAGAAAGAATTGCCCCTCCACTTACCCTTTGCACGGCGTCTATTCTTCCTTAATAGACTGATTTTACAGTGTTAATGCCAATATTTACACGATAAAACATACATGTTAATGACCATTATGATCGACATCTTATCTACATCAGATCGACATTCTGTTACCTAATAAAGAAAAAAATGTCTTGTTTAGAGAATAACTGCCTCATCAAGATATTACCAAACCATGACAGTAAAAATAACATAATAAAACTACAAGGCATTTTTCTTTAGGGTTGCAACAAATCAATAAAGCACAATTGCAGTAAAAACTTGATTTCCAAACTAATTTACAATAAGAATGAAGGAGCCACAAGCAATATGGGTTTTCAAAAATGCTGTTGGTGCATTATTCAGAGATGTGATCTGATAATTCAAAGACTGCCTGCTGTCTGCAGTCTAACACTGAAATGGTAACTGGTCTTAATATGCACTGCACGATCTATAAAAGTATATTACACGAACAAAGAACGTCACGGACCACGAGGTGTGCAGAAACAGAAACAGCCGGTAGACTGGTCTTCAGGTATCATGCCGCCTCCCTTGCTAGTATCTATTGCATACAACATTTTCACTACCTCTTCCATTTCAGGGCGTTTATCCGGGTCTGCATCCCAACATTTTCGCATGACGCTAGCCAATGTGCTTGGACAACATCTGGGGATTTCTGGTCGTAAATTCTGCCATCCAAGCATAAAATATTAGGACTAACATTTGGCGATCAACATTACTTAAAAGCCAAAGACAAACAAGTTTTGCTACATCAGTTCCACTACTTCAAAACAAATTTACAGTAAAATCTCGTAAAGAAATTAAAGCAGTATGTGCAACGACAAACCAACCTGTCGCACTACTGCAGATGAGACATCAGCAAAACTTAGATTAGGATACGGCATGTCGCAGCAATAGATTTCCCACAAGCAAATACCAAAACTATAGACATCGCATTTCCTGTTGTATGGCTTGCCATAAAGGAACTACAAAAACCTTGATGTTAGAATTCTAATCCAATTTGCAGCAAGGGGAATCTATAAATAAAAGAATGTCACTCGCTTCAAATGTGTTTAGAACTAGATTTGGCAATAATTTACAAAAAAGTAGGTACCTCTGGGGCCATGTACCCAAGGGTACCGGTCTCCCCAGTCATGTTCCTTGATTTACGAGCTTCTATTAGAGTAACGCCAAAATCAACAATTTTCAATGTTCCATGATTATCAACCAACATATTTTCCGGCATGACCTCACGGTGTAAAATTTTCTTCGAGTGAAGATAGCTCAAACTGAGAGAATGGAACACCAAGGATGAAATCCTTTAGTTTGAAACCCAACGAAAAAACAGAATTAAATCAAGCACCAAAAATGAACCCAACTCACCCTTTGGAGAGATCCAAAGCAAGTTGAATCACAACCTTAAAGGCAAGTTTGTTTCTTCTATTCCTGATCAAAAATCTCTTTAGCGTCCCAGTAGCAGGAACAAACTCAGCGACAACACAACAAGCTCTTGAAGTAGGAGAATTATGGCAATCACTTGATGTGTTTTTAACAGGGATTTTTAGGCCAGAAGTTCCCATTGAAGCTCCGAAAAACTGTCACAAATATAATGGTTACAGTTTAAATAGATAAATCTCAACCATAGGAGAAGATAACAGCACATGAACATCACATAAACCTGAAAAATGACATTTAAACAGTATCAAAATTTCTATCTGAAGCTATCGTGACTTTATAGGATGCAAACTGAGATGAAGAACCAATATTACTAAATTTACCTTGGGAAAATTTGGGTGGTCAAACTTATGCCAAACAGCAACCTTTTGCTGAAATGATGCCCGAAGAGCAGCAGTTTCAGCTGCTGTGGCAACACCATCCTCCCCCCAATCAAATATATTCACTATAATATCAAGAATACACAGGCCATGAGAAGAAATTGACAAAAAAATTAAATGCAGGGTCACCTATGGTTGGGAGTTCATTATTCAATCAAATAACACCGCTTTCTTACATTCAATCAAAAAAATTTATGTAGTTGTAAATTTGTATCTATACTTAGGCAAACAATCACATGTATTCTTTTCTGCAATGAAATAAACCCCTAAGTCTAATAACAACGAAAGTTTGAAATCTGAGTTCAGCATGCTAAACCCATTGACCACTAAACTATGTTTTAAAGTCTCAAACATGGAAAACTTCAGGCATGCAAACAAATCCTGCACATCACCAAAATTGCAACAACGAAAAAGAATTGAAAACGAATTGAAGCCTTCAGAGAAATCAAAGTACCTGCAACATCTTGGCGGTTATATGCACCGCGATACACGGTGCCATAGGCTCCATGAGCAATATCATGTCTTATATCCAACTTTGCCAAATCAATCTCCCACTCTTCCATCTTTGTGTTCACCTCCCTCTCCCTCTCCCAACCCCTACTCAAGTGCTTCTCCAACTGGATATCCCGCCAAATCTAAAATTATCACTCCTTCACAAAATAAAAAATTTCTTAAACCCCCGAAAACTTGATTGAAACTTTGACAACGGAACTGAAAAAATATAAACGACCCCCCAGAATCTTGGAGCCGAAGAATCACACCAAATCGAGAAAAAAAATGGGATAGGAAAAAAGGAAGAAAACAATATAGAAAAATAGAGTTTTGGGTATTAAACTAGAGTGAGAGAGTCATTAGAAATAGTGAATAGAATCGTGAAAAGAAAAAATCAAACAAAGAAAATAATACATAGGAAAATTTACGCGCGGGTTTGAGCAGTAAATTTATGGGTCAGCAGCAAGTGGTTCGGAGCACAAGCTCAGCAGCAAGTTAATCATTAAATTCGTTCTCCCCTAAATTCTACCAAGATGAAAACAAAAACAATATTTGGAACAGAGGTCAAGAACTCAAAGCCCCTAATTCTTGAATACCTTAAAACTGAAGATTCGGAACACAGATGGTGGTCAGGAGTGCTCCAGTTGAGAAAACATGATGGTGGTGGTTGGAGGGACGGACGGAGCTCTGCGCTGCGAATTTGGGTCTGATAGTCCAGAGTCCAAGTCGAGTCGAGAGACAGAAAGCCGATGTCTGAGTGAGAGAGACAGACTGAGAGTGGGAGTTGTGAGAGAAATGGGAAGTCAACGGTGCAGGACCAAGTCCCGTTTGTCCACCCAATAAGGTATTACAATTGTTTTGGCCAGACAAACGTCCACTTGATATGGAGTTGGTGGGAATCTGTGACTTTTGATTGTGTCATTTTTTCTGCACATTAACGAAGTATTAAAATTGTTTGGGAGCGGAAAAGAATCCATTGCTTTCTACAAAGCTACAAGGGAAGAAGGATGAGCGTTCTGCATCCACCATCTTCGTTCTTGTCGCATTAACACAGGGACAAGGTACCTTCCTTTTTTGGCTACCACTTGCTCTCCATTTCTCTTATTCTTCCTCTTTTCTTCCTCTGTGTTGGTCTTTCAGTGTTATAGCCTCTATGCAGAAAATCACACTGCATGTATTTTGCCCCTTTTTGTTCTTGGCCCTATTCTTTGTTGTTGTGGTGGTAACCCTGTGAATGAAATGCTCAGTTATCTATTCCTCTAAAATACATTGCATCTGATTTTTGTTCATTCACAGATGATGGCACATGCTTGAGATTTTTATGCTATCACTCTGTTGGTTGTTTTATGATTGTTTTTTTTTTTGTTTTAAAATGTGTATGATGTGTGTGATGTACGAATTAGAGCAGGTTTCTGCATGTGGTTTTAAATTAAGCGGGGGCCATAATTTTTTTTTATCAGAAAAGAAGTGATTGAGGTCGCTTTAGAAAACTGTTGAGCGGAGAGCGAAGAAATTCTTTGCATGAAAAACAGATTTCACTTTGTTTTCTTTACTCAAAGTGCTCTTCTTTAGTCTGGTTCTGTTTCGGTTGCGTAATCTGTAGTTCGCAATGATTGTGAATCGTTTCCTAACAAATCTATTGAGCTAAGTTCTTTTTGGTAGGAAATTGTGGTTGCTGAGTTAACAGGAGAAAATGGCTGGGTTTGTGGTTTTTAATCTTTGTCATTTAATTGGTGTAGCTATGCTACCAGCAGTGTGTGATTAGTGCTAATGGATTTTCAACACTGTTTATGAGCTATTATTTTCGTTGCTGTTCTGTGCGTTAGTGCTACACTACTACAAATTTTTACATACATGACACATTTTATGGGTCATGTTAAAAGTTTAATGACGCAAGGGTTTAGTGTCATCTTTGTGGGTGTCATTAAAGATATTTTTTATGACATTGAAAGAGTATCATGTATTACTTTTAAGGACGCCTAACAAGCGTCATTGAATTAAGAACTTGTGTCATCTATGACCATTTAAGACACGAAATAAGTGTCATAAACATAGGAATGAGCGTCATGGTATACTAATCATGACACACGCACAGTGTCATGCATAGCTTTTAGAGACACATAACAAGCGTCATTGAATTAAAAAAGCGTGTCATCTATTTCAATTTGAGATGCAGAATATATGTCATAAACAAATGAATGAGCGTCATGGTATAGTAAACATGACATATGTATAACGTCATGTACTATAGCACTGCAACGTCATTGAATATTACCAATGACACACAAAGCGTGTCATAAATGATTCAATACATGTCCTAAAATATGTATGTTGGCATATATGAGAAGACTTACATAATTCATCCAAGAAGCAAGATATTTACCCCAAATTAAACAATATTGCTTCATAAATTTGTAATTCATCCACTACCAAAGTATTACAAAAGACAATATAATGTGTAGAGTTTCCTACTAAACTAAAACTAGTTCACTTAATTTAAATTTCACAAACTAGCTAATCTAGTGTTTCATCTATTGGGATGAAGTCATCAACATACTCAGCCCACTCTATTCTTAATGCATCAATTTCCTGTTGAGTGTATGTAGCTTTTTCTTTGAACTGCAACAAATCACAACCAAAAGAGAACATGTCACGACAAAAACTAATTTCAATCATTTAACTAATAAGGAGATGGTCAATTAGCATCAACTAGCCCAGAAAGAACAAGGGTTCTCTACTCGTATTTTTCGCTAATGTGTTTTTTTTCACTCGGTATAGAGCTAATAAAACATGAAGCGGTCCAGCAAAAGATTTAAACTTTAAAGGCCTCATCTTGATGGCAAATAACACCAAGCTCAAACACAACATGGCTTAACAAAATCAGATTTGAACCTATATATTTATCACATTCAAACGTAAACTAAAGATAGACTAGCATTACAATTTTATTGAAGACAAAAAATAAATCAAGAATTAGAATCCGAATCCAGACAAGGAAAACAAAAACAAACCCATTGATGACTTGAATCAACTCAATACACGAATACCCATGATGGTTTTGATGAGCTAAAATCCAATTGGGCATCTTTTGGAAGATTCAAAAGTTCCAATTTCTATTGTAATTAATTTTAATTAAACACTACAGATCATGCTAACAACAATCCATCTCATCATCAATAATGTGAACATTCAAGTAATTTAGTATAGTTATGCCGATTTCCTTCATGGGTTGCCAATGATTTGAGTAAAAACCACCGTTAGTTGTAAATTAATTTGCCTGAACTATAAATTACATACAAAGAACTAATACTAATAAGATAGTAGCGAATACACCCGTTTAAGTGCTCTTTGTAATAGTAGTACTAACCTTGGTAATAATTGAGCAGTTCGGATCATCAATGGTTTCCTTCATGTATTTCATCACTTAATATCCACATTCTACAGTTCCTTCTTGCAAAGGGCATTGCATATACAAATAACAAAGTATAAAATATAAGTTAGTCAGATTAATTTAAAGTCAAAACACAATGTTCCTTACCTTTACTACTTTCCAATTGATATTTTTTTCGACCCTTTATTCCCTTTTGAGCTTTAAACATCTTCAGTGATCTGCACATAGAGGATAAGAACACATGAATATATTCATATCTTGAAATGCATGAAATAAGGACAAACGTATATCCAAATACTTACCGTTCAACAATGTCCTTCATTCCAGGATCTATCTGTATCCAATTAAGTGAGTCCATATAATACACTAATTCCTCATAGGGGTCAATAATAGCCAACAACCAATGAAACCTACAAAACATAAATAATTGCATTCTTTATTACACAATGGTCAACTACTGATTTGTTAGGAACAAAAAATTCAAAACACATTGTACTAATAACCCTTTGTTATACGGAGCAAAAATTAATTGTCCTTTTTTGCAGTTCTGTAATCTAAGAGCCAGTGCATTTGATCTTTGTTCCTTTCTGCTAGCCTTTTGAGGGATTCTGCCAGGATCTACAAATCCAAACAATCCATCAAGATTGTTCTTCTATCCATAGACATCCAAGATTTATCCATTCTAAAACAGTTATATTGATTGATATTAGAATAAAACATATAACGAGATTGCATGAGGGCACAATATATAAACTGTTGCAGGCTAAAGACATAAAACAGAAGCAGAGCTTATGAGGAGTTTTATCAAACATGTGGTGTGCTATAAACACCAACTCCCACAAGAACACACAATCTAAAGATTAAAAAAAAAAGAAAAAGGATAAAAGTAATAGTTAATCTAATTCAGAATTGGTATTAAGGGGATCACAAAGTGTTAAAAAAAAAAAAAAAAAAACAATGATCAATCTCGTTATCCAACATAGCAAATGACAAGGCTAAACTACAATTTGTACAACAACTAGTTTAGCAAATGACAAGGTTAAACTAAAATCTGTCCAGCCACATAGCTCAGACTAATCAATACAACTTCACAAAAGAGATTAATATAGAAATTATTTTCTAGAAAACCCATAACCATTCCAACAAACTTACCATACACAATTAGGTTTTGAGTGAAATTTGGGGAAAACAATCAATCTGGTTGATGAAGACTGTGGGCGTCCCAGAGAGAGAGAAAGAGAGGGAGAGATAGAAAGACAGTGAGTACTCTCGATGAAGACTGTGTGATGAAGACTATGGGCGTCCCAGAGAGAGAGAGAAAGAGAGGGAGAGATAGAAAGACAATGAGTCTTCCGTCTTGAGGAGAAAGAGAGCATTGATATTTCATTCTTTATCTGGGAGTTGGCTGGGAGTGGGTTGGGTAGTGGAGTGAATGAGTCGTGAGGGCTTAGGAAGTTTTGAGGAATTCACGCGACGCTCTTCTTTTTTATAAATCCTTCCCGTTGGTTTTTTTAGTTGTGTCATCAATTTATTTTAATAACGTTTTTAATAAAAAAATGTCATTAAAAAATTTAGTAAGTGTCATGAAAGCTCTATTTTGTAGTAGTATAATGGATTTGCTGTGTTTGAGATTTTCAGAAACTTGGATCGTTGGACAGAGCACTTGGCCCTTTGGCTTTTGATGTATATTTATTTACGGTGGTTTCATGACTGTTGTTACATTTTTTTTGTGCACATCGGGACTGGATTTGGCTATGTAATTGTGGCATCCTTTGACTATGTATGACCACGATAACAGTGGAATGTGTAATCGCTATGTCTTTAGTTGGTGTACTGTTAATGGTTTGCAGATGCTTAGCAGACCATCTGTAAAATTGCTATCAATAAAATTAATTTGGGGAAATAATGTTAATGGTTTGTAGATGCTTAATGTGCTGTTAGTTCTGTTGTTAGGTTGCTGCCATTGTTTGTTAATTATTATTAACAAGCTTTTGTTGCTCCCATTGTTTGTCAATTATTATCAACAAATTTTAAGGCACAAACCCATTGGTTATTGATGGTTAGTTAAATATCAGAGTGCACGACGAACGAGATTACAAAATAATAAAAATATTATTAAACAAACAAGAATGCCGAAATGACTACAAAATCTCAAGAGGCTACATCGTGACAAACTTGTTCTCAACTGAATAACAAACATGCTATTTATAATAAACTAACCCTAATCCTAAAAGATAAGAAACCGAAACCCTAATGCTAACGGGCTAAGTCCAGAAAACCAAACATTCAAATAAACCAAAATACTAATATTTTCCAACAATTGGCGTGAGGCCATTATTGTTTCACCGCAGGTGAGATTGTGTTGTTTCTTGAAGATTTTTTGGTGGGTTGCATGCTGTGTGCATTTTCTTTTGTATTTTTTTTGTGTTTCTTGCAATCATAAAGTGTGTTGAGCTTGGTTCATGAATAAAACCAGCAAATGTATTGACTTTTGGATGTGTTTCGCATAAAAACAGCAAGTTGTGATGCGTTTGTTGTTGTAAACATGATTGAGAACTTTGATTTTTGATGTGTTTCGCATGATAAAAACAGCAAATATATTGAGCTTGAAAATAAGGGTTTAGGGTTCACTGTCTTTCCATGTGTAGAATTTTACCCATATTTTTGGTTTCTTTATGGTTTCAATTATCTTCACTCCAAAACTTCCCAACCCAAAGGCTTCAAAACATAAAAAGTTCCAAAAACCCCCCGAAAGTTCGATTGAAACTTTGACAAATAAACTGGAAAGATATAAGCGGCCCGACCGGCAGGTCCAAGACCTGTTTGGCCACTCCTAACTATAAAGTATTACAATTGTTCTGGCCAGATAACCCTCCACTGAAATATGGAGTTGGTGGGAGTCTGTGACTTTTGATTGTGTCATTTTTCTGCATATAAAAAAAAATGTTAGATTTGATTAATTGGCTTACTCAACATATCTAAACTACTATAGAGACCTTCCATTTTTTATGATAATTACGTGTTGACAAGAGAGACCATAACAAATCTTCCTCGTTCTGCCAAAAACAAAGTCTTAGATTCCTCTTTTTTTTTTTCGTGGGGTCATATTATTTTGTCCTTTTAATTGCTTTCTTGTCTCCCAAATCTTGCACGGTTATATTTATTCATTTCCTTTATATGAGCGATTTTGGGAGAAGAGAACCAAACATGAAACTTTGGGTGGGAGGGTGATTACTCTAAACAACTGAGCTATATTCTCTTGCAATGCCAATTACACTATTTTGTGAGCGTTTGGTTCAATTTTTTGTAGGATATTGTACGCAATGTAGAGACAATGAATTTAAAACAGTAAAACTCCAAAACAACACGAGGGCTCTTCATCCCGCCAACACCAGATTTACCAAATTTACCATAGAATATGCTTTACCGTCTTGTACTTATACTACTTAATTCACAAAGCAATATTTATTTATTTTTATAGAAAATGTACGATATCTTCATTAATAACAAATGAAATACGTACATAAATGAGTAGGGTGCAAACAAATAGCCTCGATCAAAATCTTGTCGGGGTTTTCAACCCGATCCAAGGGAAAAAGAGTGTCCCGCACCAACATAATTAATTAGGAATTGTTGTCCTCAAAGAGAAGATCAAGGATTACATAAGAGAGTTTCTCAAACCAAGTCACAATGTTACCATAACTCAAGCTCATACGTGCTAGCTTGTGTGCCACCTTGTTCATCTCCCTTCTACTAAATTCAACCTTCCACTTGAACAATGAATGAATAATTAAACGCGTGTCATTTAGAAATAGATTAGGCCAAATTAGATTAATAATATCCCGTGGTTATAGGGTACTTATATGATGACCATTGTGATGAATAAAAAAATTAGGAATTAATCACCTATGATGAATGCTGTCAACAAATTTAGCTCAAAAATAGAACGTCCTATAAGAGCAATTCCACCCCTAAAGACTTTGCGCCAGCACCCAACTCATTTATCCACTCAAGTGAACAATAATAGATCTCAGTGAACAGTAATAGGCCAAAGTATCTCCACCCCTAACAAAAAATAGCCTAGTCAATTTTATTAAAATATTATTAATTTTTATTATAAAATAATAATTTTGTTTTTTAATTTCTGACTTCTTCTCTCTGACTCCCTTCTTCTTCTTCTCTCTGACTCCCGTCTTCATCTTCTTCTTGTTCTTCCCACTTTTCCCACTTTTTTCTTCTCCTTGTACACCACGCTGTCGAATCTACCCTACTCTGAATATGGACACCCACCATCCTGGACCTGCGCACACTTTAAACCCCCCAAAATCAACACCTACATATTAAAAAATTCATCCAAAATATACAAAATGGAAAAAAAATTTCCAGTTGCAGGAAGATCACGATTTGGAAAGGGGACATGGTGTTGAATTTATGGATTTATCAGGGGAAGGGGGTTGATGGGGTTCCAAGGATCGGGATGGGGTTCCAGATGAGAGAGACGGTAGCCATGACGTTAGCATGGCATTAGATGAGCCGCCTTCTTCCTTTATCGATTTTAGGCTGGCATGTGGACTGGCTTGGGCTGGGTGCCAATCTATTCCATGAACTGGAGTGGATTGGCTGAGTCTCAGCCTGTTTTTTCCACTAGGTGCCGGCCTTTTTTGCTTCCGGTGGAAGTGCCCTAAAGGTCTGTTAAAAATAGGGGTGAGATTTATTTTCGATTCCAATTGGCACCAAAAAAAAATAAAAAACTAAAAAAAAAAAACCCTGAAAGGTTAAACTTAACGCAGGCAAAGTAAGTACAAAGGTCAAGGGGTGAGCCAAAAAGGCTCCAATAAAAAACTATAAGTACAGTGAAGTCGATACAAACTAGGAAAAACTAGTCATCATAGAAACAGACATCCACTTGCATAACCTTAACGGTGTCCAAAAGATATGAGGCTGATAGATTGGCTGAAACCATCAGCAGCCCTGAATGGTGAGCCTGCTGAGATTACTAGATATGCTTTGCACCACAAAAATGTGCAAACCAATTTGATTTTGGGTTTCTAGTAGTATCTTTTTTTTTCTTATTTATTTATTTATTTATTGTTAAACAAACGATATCTACACTAATGGAGTGGACGAATAAGCTAAGCTTCACAGTGGACTAACCATAATAATGTGATTCAGATTTACCTTTAGCGAGAATAGAATCTAAGACCTCTCACAAGTGAAAAATAATACCACTAAATAGTAGTATTAAGGGACTTCTTTTCTTAATTTTAAACAAGAAAGAATGCCCATCGACTCTTTGTTTTCTCTTTGCCTGAAGTGTGTGCCCAGCTTATATCGATTCGAACAGGACCGTTAGGAGCGTATCCTTTTCACAAGTTTACCAGACTTACCAGAAAGAGTTCCAAGTGGGGGTGAGGTTTGAGCCGTCTCTTAGTAAGAGTTTGATGAAGGTTGTAGTATAGGTGGTCAGCGGATTGCATCACCAATCACTATCTTCGTGCAGAAATGAGTAATTATCTCATATTATCTTGCTACAATTCATAAACATCATATCGTACTCTAGTAGTTCTTTTCCAACGATATGTGTTTGTCTCAACGCATCTTTCCATTACTTCACTACATGACCTTTTTGTTCATGAGTGCGTGGATGTCGAAACACTTCTAGTAGATTTGATCGGTGCGTTATGGAACAGTACGAAAGCGCGATCGAAGAGAGAATCGAACGATCTTTGCACACTCTGAAGTTGCGAGGCAAAATGGAAAATTGTGCACCCTTGGGAAATTACTGCTTGCTTATCGAGACAACAAATGTGTGGTCGATATTGCGAGTGGCCGACTGTTGTATCGATAACTTATTCGTTGGGTTTGTTAAGCAAGTGGGCAGGTAGACCCGTCTACGATAGATGTTACTGAGTAGTCATTGTTAGGGCTCGACCCAAAAAATTTTCTCGAAGTACATGACGTTACGTATGCTTGGGCGAGACCCACTTTCATTTTCGTTTTGGTTTTCAGTACAAGTATTTTAAATTACCTTATTATAGTTATATATTGTAATTTTGATACTTATATATGTCTTCGGGTAGGTGCTGTAAGAGCCTACGGGCGATTGATACTTATATATGCCTTCGTCGGGAGGGGGTGTTGTAGAAGCCTACGGGCAATTGATACTTATATGCCTTCGCGGGGGGAGGGACTGATGTAGGAACCTACGGGCGAATGAAGTGTTCTAAATGAAATGTTCTAAATGAAGTGTTCTATATGCCGTTGGGTGATACTAATATCACTACTTAGCACATTATATGATATATGTTTTACAAAAGGTTTCATGGCATGCTAGGGTTTTCGAATAACCTATTACTTATTATGCTATATGAGTTTTCATAAACTTTGGGGGTTAGTACGTTATTAAAGATTAACTATGTTAGTACTATTTATATATCAACTTGGTCCACTCATGTTTTGTTTTGCGCCCCCTCAAGACTTAGAATCAAGACGTACAATCCCGATGTCAAGGCACTCCCGCATCGACATCTTCGAGTCCTCTCGGTATAAGACCCTTCCTTTTGTTCATTCAATTTTATATTATTCATTTTTAGTGTCTCGG